TTCACAGACTTTGCCAAACGGTCTTCCAAAGCACACAAATACTCTCTGAATTATAGATAAGGCCACTTAGCAAACAATACATTTCAGCACAATACAAATGCATTCCCAAAGGATCATTTTTGTTACTGAACACACCAGTTGTGATTAAAAAATTGTATCTTCATAGTATAGTTTTGAAGATAGTGACAAATGAGCAAAACAAAATGTTGACAAAAGACAATATTTTTCCCCTTGTTTACATGGAGAAAGGAATTTGAGTAAAGAATGTTTTGCCTCTTCCTCTGTAGAATAACACCAGGAAATCTGTGTGGCAGGATCTTTGTGATCTTTTTCAGTTTGTTTCCTCCATAAATATTTCCTCCCATAGAAGGTAAGTGGGAGAAAGAACAATTTGGAATAATTCCCTCAAGCATCCTCTGAGCAGGAGAGCTACTTGTTGTTAGGGGTTGGGTTTCTTGGTTTTTTTTACTTTTTAAGTTCAATGCATAAGCGAGAAGACCAAGCAGATTTACTGAGCAGTCTGTGCCCTCAGGGAAACACAGATCTGCATGACCTACTCAGTGACTTCCAGGCTTTGTCAGCAGGGCTGAAAAGTCATGGATCCCTGATCATTGTCTTAAAAATATCAAACTGGATAAATTGAAGATTTACTTACAAAAATAAGTCCCGAAATGGCAGTAGTATTTGCTTTTCTTTTGCCCTATATAGTGAGACAGTTTACTGCATGGTACACATGAAGAAATATTATATTTCTAGGTCTCTGGCTGGATATTCTGTCTCCACATATATGTGGCTGTGTTTGAATATTTATTGCACTGATTTACTGTATTGCTACAGAAATCCTGACAGGTTCTCAGTTACCAACACTTCTCAGGTCCACACTCAGGTGACTGCTTTGAATATAGGCCTGAGATTTCCTTTAGCCAGTTTAGAGATGTTTAATTCACAGCAGAGAAACCTAAACAGAGTTTAGAAATGCCTCACTCTCAGGGATACAGCTGACATCTTGCTGGTTTTCCCTGGAAGAGTTCAGCCTGCTGCTCTCCAGTGACATTACTTTGAGCTGATTTAGCTCTTCCCCTTCATTCATTAAGGAAGAGATGTGCCTAATCTTGGAGCAAAAACCCCTGCTAGCTGGCAGGGTGCCTGTAAGTGAGGGGTGGTGCTAGCCAGAAATGTGCTCTCTGCAGATTTAGCCCTGCACTACTTCCATATAGAGCTGATCTCCTCCAACATTAACTGATCAAATTGTAGTTAATTAAAATTGGCTCTCACTTAACATTCTTTAAGGTCATTCTAAGTTAAGAGGATGCAGGTACAAATAACAACCAGCCCTCTTCAGGAAAGAGGTGGTTTCCACTGAAAACATAGTTAAATAACGATTATCCACGCCCAACACATTTTCTTCTTTCTGCGCAGTAAATATTCTACATTTTTACTTATGTGTGTTGTTCTGTCACTCCAGCAAAAGAATACTGTTGTTATTTTGATATTCTTGTGTAGAATATATTATTTTAAGAGAACAAAAATTACTTGTTCTATAGAACAAAATTCAAAATTTTATTTGAAAATGGCTGTATTTGAAGTGGCTTAAAGTCTAGAATATGTTTTAGATATGCAAATGTTTTATGCTCGACATCATAATTTCCAGCTGAAAGAAACACTGTTATTGTGAGAAGGTTAAACACAATCAGTGCCACACTTAAATTTCTCCAAATAACTTGGAAAATTCTGTGCATCAGTATCACATCTGTACTTCTAATTGCCTTTAACGCGATACACTTGAAAATTATTTTAACTACTGAATTGCTTGCATTTTTCTGGCACCTGAGCTGATCTCAAAATTCCTAGACTCTGATAATGTAATCAGGTGTATCCATCACAATCTTACCCATTTAAATTGTGATGGATATTTAAATGGAAAAAATGGCAAATGTGATGGCCATTTAAATGAAAAAGAAAATTAGTTTAACAGTGTTCTTTGGAGCTTATCTTTCTTTTAATAAAAGATCTTTTGAGTGTGCAAAGGACTTCTTAATGTAGATTTGAAACAGGTCAGTAGGGTCCCTTGAAACAGGCAGTAAAAGCCCAAGCTCTAAATATTTACCCCTTTTACTTCTCATAAAAGAAAAAACACACCAGCATGATGCTCTGCTTATGTCTGACAAGCACTCTGATGGCAGAATTAGTTTCTGGAAGCCAAATACCTTCTTGAAATATTTCTTGGCATGTTTGTCTGATCAGTAATTACATACCTGCCGATAACAGGAGGAAATGTTTTGCTGTGTCTGAAGATAGCTGAGGTCTCAAATTCTTACAGCTTCCATAATCATTTCCTTCCTGTACTTGACTCCATTCCATTCCAAACCAAGGTTTTTAGCAATGAAAGGACATGTCAGCTTCTGGACAAATGCCACCTGACTGTGTATGGCATAATCTCATCAATGGAACAGAATGATGGGTATTTGGTCAGTCATTGAACCATTGATTAGGCAATGCCAAATGTGAGATTTTCAGCTCAGTTTAATTCCTCAGAAACAACCCAGCTAAAAAGCAGCCCAGCATAAAAACTTCTTCCCAGACTGTTTTTCTAGTTCTTCAAAAAATGATAGTAATTCAGACCATTTGGGTTTTTTCCTCAGCACTAAAGACAGGATATAATATCTAGTCTAATAGTTAGCACATATAACTCTGAGTATTTTATGTTCTTTTTCCTGCTCTTTTCCTAGAATGTAATAAAAGTTTGGGGCCATTGCTTAGTGTGTAGTTTAGACTCCTAAAAAAGTGCTGTGTTTTCCATAAATACCAGCCCTCTGAAGGTTCTTAGTGTACTCCTGAGCATCAGCTTTCTTTGTCAGCTCCTCTGTGTCTCTCTTCTCCAGGAATGTAACTTTTCAAGCATTTGTGTTTTCATATCTTCTCTTTAATCTCCTGTGCTTTGGTTGTAAAAGTACAACAACGTTGTCATTTTCACCAAACACTTTGGGAGTCACAGGCAAAGAAAATACGAGTGGAAAGGATGAATCCCTAGCTGGTGATTTTTTCTTTCTCCTTTCTGGCAAGAAATCATTTTATTCAAACTGACCAAATGGCTGCTTACACAAGATTGTTCATGAGCAGACTTCTTAAAAACAGTACTATTTGCCAAATGTGTCAAAAATAATTTTCTGTTAATCTAATTTCCGCTTGATTTTTTTCTAGATGACCTACCAAAAAAATTCCCTAAATAATCAAACAAAAAACCACAAACTAACCTCTTTTCTTCTGTTTTGGGGCTGAGAGGCAGAGATCTCAGGGATTTTTTTCAGCATTGGACAGAAGGCAAGCAGGTTGGCACTTAAGAAGGCTGGTGTTAAGGGTGGGATTCCAGAAGCAGCCAGTACCGGCCTCATGTATTTGTGTGTGAAAAAAATGTAATTATTGAATTCTGGCAAAATATCAAGGTATTTTCTGGAAATCTCTGGTTTCTATTTTATTCATATGCCATTACTTTTTTGCTTTCAGTCACGAGGGACATGACCTGGTACCCTCAGCCACCCCAACACATTCCTCTTATGGAGGCAGCAGACCCTCAGGTGAGTTTAACAGAGCGGTTTCTGGCCACAAAATGCAGGTGTTTAAATAACATCCTTAGATGAATCCTCAGCACAGTTCTTGTATTTCTGGATATTGTTGATAAATAGGATGGACACTGCACATACCTGGCCTTTGGGAGAGGTGGCACAGCTTTAAACTGTCAGATTCTTTGGTCAGAGGATAAAGTTGGTGTAAATATCTACCTATTTTCTCATCTGTGCTATATCACATTAACCAGCAGCAAAAAAAAAAGATGTAGCCTTTCATTTCTGAGGATCTGCCATGGACAGCACTGCAGTCAGCGGCTTAGGGGTAAAACTGACTGGCTGGAATAACACCAGAGTGTCGCTACAATAAAATATTGACTCACTCCCACTGTCTCCTCTTCCCTCCTTCCTCTCCAAGCCATGCCTACAAATAACAAATTGGTGGGATTTCAGAGAAAAGAATAACACTTGCATTTCCAGAGCAGAGAGAGGAAAATCTTTAACATGTAGTGCAGAAATTGCAGAAAAAGTAGTGCAAAAAATGCTTGTAGTGCAGAAAAAATGCTTGATGAATGTTGACCTCAGTGAACAATCTAGAAATTCAACAAGGGATGTGACCTGCAGCTGCTGCCAAAATGAATCAAGAAAACGTTTACAATCTGCTGAGGTGCATCTGTTATGCAAAATACAGAATTTATGTAAATACTGAAATGCAATACTAAGCCAAGCATATATTCAAACTTAAGGACAGCTTGAAAGTTTAAAAGTTTCCATTCTGAACTTTGGAAACCGTTCTTATGAAGATCTACCCCAGATGTCAGTTTATCTCAAGAGTATCCATAATACTACAGAGTGTGAGCACAATTTCTGAACAAAATTATCAATTGGTTTTGGATAGTGGCATCCTTGGAGGAAAGAAAGGATTTCATTAAATCCTATACAACATTTCTATTCACAAACTTGTCCAAGCAAAACAAGCCATAAATCAATTTGTGTTTATTTATTAACTCTAGCAATATGGGTGGTAAACACACATTAAAACAGAAAAACAACAAACTTGCAAACCAAAACATTATAGCTAGAGATGAATGAAATTTCTTGATGAATAAAAAATTGGCTGAAAAAATGAAATCTTGGACTTAGTAAAACCCTTTGCAAACTCCCATCAGCTTCAGTGGTAGCTTTGTTCCCAAAATGGGTGAGTGAACTACTTTGCCTTGAAGTCTAAATAAGTAAATAAATAAAAGTTTTAATTTCTTAAACCAGCATTACTTTTTTTGAAAGAGAATTTCACTTTTTAAAAGGGGAGATCTCTTGAAGCCAAAATGGAAATGCAGTTCTCTTGAACACACTAGGACAAAACAAAGTATTTCACATTACCCTGAAGGAAAACATCCTTATCCCTGCTGCTCCAGCTCTGCTCTACTCTCCAGGAGCACTCATAACATCAGCTATATCATTAAACAAACAGTGCAATTATTCAAAAACTTCCCCACACAGATGTTTTCTCCTTTACTTACAATTTTTGGCTCCCAAACATGTACGGATGTAGTCTTGACTCTCGTTGAACTTTGGAAAAAAAATCCATTCCACGTAAAAATCCATTTAGTGAAAATCATCCTAGTGAATCTCCAGGATGCAATATGGAGATGTTTTATGATTGTTTTTTATTATTCAATTCATTATCATAAGCTGGAAAAAATGAAATTTCCACACCAGCTGGGTCAGTACTTTAAACACCTGGATGACAATATACAGAAAATTAAATCTCTAAAAAGTTTTATCTAGGTAAAATATAAAGGCAATCTATTTTGACTTGCAATAAATAGCACATTTTATTTCCCATTTTCCATTTTATTTCCTATTTGACAATCACTTTAGAAATTTCAGCTGCCAATGTTCCTGCAATTATTAAGCACACCCTAATAAAAATGTAATTCTGGGAAGAATATGTGATAATAATATTTAATAATTTCATTTGGTTCTTGTTTTAAGTGCAGACAGGTCCCTATGTTAAGCACAGACCACTTGACAAACTTCCATAATGAAGGCATCATTTTATCAGAATGCACTTTGGAAAACTGCCAGGCAGTGATGCATTTTGGACCACAAAATTAGAAATTCAATTAATTCAGCAAATGTGACTGCAGAATAAATCTTCTATGTATGACATTAGAGCAAAGAGACTTTAGATTCCAGTTGCTCACATCCAAAAGTCCATGCACATGTCTTTTGGAGATAGATGCTTTTTAGTCCTTCCCATTTGTTAATGTACACATCTACAGAAAGCAATTAAAAGATGCAAAGAATGTTTTCAAGTTGTGAATTAGATGAGGGGAAGATGTTAATATTTAGTTGGGATTTAATTTCAATGGTTTCTTAAGCAATTAAGAAATTTTCCTCATTAGGAAAATTGTAATTGTTGACAGGTGAAGTAAATTTAGAAAATATAGAAACTGGCTTGATTTTTATTAAAGACAAAGATGGAATGCTATTATTTTCTTCTGCAAGCATGATCTTCATTGTGAAAATTATTCTAAGTCAAAGCCCTTTAGTTAGTGCTTCATGCTGGAAGATGATCACACATCAACATGAGCATGGGTCAAAATTGCGAGGTTCTATTTAAATAGAGTTTCTAACCAAATAATTCTCAAACAACATCTACTTGTTAACACTAGACTGGTAAAAGGATATGGATATTTTACAATTAAAAACAGACCTTGAACCCAACACTGTGCAACATATTAAGTAATGTAATTATGCCGAAGAGAACGGACTGATAAGAAAATAAGGAGTGATGAGATTTTTGACTGAGACAGAATATGGAACGATTAGATATATGTGTGTGTGTGTATATATATATATATATATGTATATATATATATATATATATATATACTGCATTTGTGAAGCACATGACAATGGAATTTTTTTTTTTTAAAAAGAAAAAAGAAAAAAAACTAGTCCTGCTACAGTCAATCAAATATAAGACAAAGAAATATAATATATCTCCATGGGAATTGCATGAATGTCCTATTTTTTATATTCTTAGATAAGACAAATTTGTTCTTAGGAGACAGAGGAAGGAAAAGCATTTAGATATTTATGACAGAGATGGAGCATAAAAGAGAGCCCAAAGAGTACAAGAGCCACCGAGGCAGAGTAAGACACCTGAAAAATGAACCACCACAAAGAGGTGTTCAGACCACCCCAAGCTTCAACATCATGTTGAGGCCAAAAAGAAAGCAGCTCTCTATTACTCAATGGGAACTCACAAGTCACTCTTCCAATGTTAAATCCAGGGCAAATTCCCAAACATCTGGAGTGTGAGGCTGTGTGCATAGCTGAATGCTAAAACAGAGCCCAGGGCCACCTCCTGGCAGCTCATGGAAGGGATACCAGTCTGGGATGTCAGTCTGGGAACAATGTGCATGAGAATTCTGCTCCTGAGAGCTGAAGGAAACTTGGGGGCTGTGGAAGGGACAGATGAGGAATGGGGCTGGCAGGAGCACTAGGCTTGAGGGTTACAGAGTTCTGTCACAAGAAGCTATCTGTAAACCAGGCACATCATATAAGGCAATACAAGTGGCTGGGGTTTGGTCCACAAGAAATACTAAGGTGACCAAAGCAGGTACTGGTGAGGTCTCTGAGACATGAGTAGTCTGTCCTCATCTTCAGTAAGTGCTGTTTCCGTGAACATCTCAGAACAGGCTCTTTCAGAGGACCCTGCCTGAGTTTTTCTGTCGCCAGTGCCTCCAAAGAGGGAAGCCTGCGGATGCAGATCCGACTCTCCCCATGCGCACATGAGCAGCCAGCTGGGTGAGTGAGGGTTTGCTCAGACATGTCACAGAACTGCACATATTTTTTCAAAATGTACAGCAGGCTTTGACAACCCAGGCCTTCACACAGAGTGGTTTAGTGAGGCTCCTCTCCCCCTCCTTCTCCATGCCCCCAGCCCTACATGAAAGCAAAGGCAACATTCGGAACTAAGCTGGCTAAAACGATTTGGTTCATTGCTACACTTCAAGAATATATGAAAAACCCATGCTGCTGCCTTGTGACACAACACAGCACGTCCCAGAGGTTGGTTTTAATGTATTTACTCTTCCAGAGCACCACAACTTTTAGTAAACGGGCAACATATGATGCAGTTCTGGTCTCATCACAACATGTTTAACATCTGGGAGAGCTGCCACTTGTGAAGCCAACCAGTGCTCTGCTGACAGACAAAGTGAGCATTATACTGAAATGCCATTCCTCAGCTGTTTGCAGAATTAATTTCCCTGTAGAATTTTCTAATTAGTTGGCTCTTTCCAGCCCGTTCCCCACAGAGGAAGCAGAAAGGAAGCAAAAGGCTAGCACCTGCTCCCAAAGCTCTGGCTGGGAAAGAAAAAAAAAAAAATTTAAGGATGACATATACAGTAAGTATTTAGGCACTAGAAAGCCTTCTATCCATGCAGCTGTGGGGATGAAGTAACTCTGTTTGAAAGCTTAATGGAGATTCTTCTGTGGGGAAGAATTTCCAGTGGCTCACATTCCAGACAGCTAACCACATTACCAAAGGGAAGAAAAAGGGATTTGTTCAAGCATTAAAAACTGTCTTAAAAAAATACAAAAAAAAAAATAAATAAAAGAATCCCCCAATATGTACGAAAACAGACAGATTAATCCAGACCTGAGGATGATTCTACAGTAGCTTGCTCCATTACCTATGGGTTATTTTCAATAATTCCTTTTTTTTCCTATGATTTTGAATTAAAAGCTACTATTATGTTGGAATGCAGTGTATGATAGTATCTTAGAACCAGCACAACAGAGTTTTTTCCTAACTGAAGTGAGTCATTGGAACAAAAGTAATAACGTGGTTCTTGCTTTGAATTTACCTGCAGTGGGTCAACATAAGGGAGAAAACATGAAAGGCATTTCATGAAAAATAAAAATAAAGAAAAAATGGTCCAAGAAAGGTAATTTGCATTTTTAGCTACTCAGCCACTTTGCTGAAACAATTTTTAAATACTGAATATAAAACAAGATGATGGTCAACTAAAGTTAGAATGCATGAAGGAAAAAAGCTCCTTTATGGAAATTAGGATAAGCTGTTAGCACTTCAATAAACACTGTGTTTCCACAGTGACTTTACAAAATGGTAGACCTTGCAAAGAACTAAGGTTTTAAAATAAGATCGCAGATAAAATCCATTTAAATTAATTGGGTGTGTGTTTGGATCAGCACAGTGTGATGTAGGCCCAGAGATGAGTAAGTTACCCATTAGTAAAGCAGATGGTGTATTAAATGTACCATTTTGTCTAATTTTTGTATAATTCCAAAGTTCCTGAAAGTTTTTTTTTAATAGATTCAACATATGTGCCTAAGTGCATTTATATATTTGGAGCAGGGGTGTGTGGGATTCAAAGACTTCTTAATTAATAATTTATTAATTTCACAGAATCAAGACACATGTTACATTTTCATAAGCTCATCATTTTCCAGGACAATTTTAGATAAAAAAAATGCAACAGAGAGTGCAAGTAGGAGGAAAGGTTCTGTTAAAACCAAAGGAAAAGAAGACATAAAGTTGCCTGCCTGAAAGAAATGCCCAGACCTTGTTCCCCACTCAGAGACAATTTTGAAAAAGTAACAAAATAAGAAGTGGAATCGTAAGGCAAGGCTATTCCTGCTTTTCACTGGCAATGTTGGCAATATTCTCTGCTGTTCTGGTTGTCTGTGGAAAATCTGTGTATGAATGAGTGGCATCCGTCCCTGTCATATGAGGTGGTGCTGACATGTCAATTCCAAATGGCTACAATTATTTCAAGTGGACTTTCCCCCAAAGCCTGCATTGGAGAGGATAATTTCAAACTGTAGAAAACCCAAGTAAACAGCACTCATTTATTTTCCTCGGAAGTGGTGCAGCTAAATTCATCTGTGGCTTTGAAAATCTCCCATGATACTTTAGTCTGGCCCATTAACTGCACCTGTTCTCTTTTTCTTTCTCTTCTTTTTTCGGGTGGAACAGGGCCTGGGGGGGTGGAATTATTTCCCCTTCAATAGCAAGTGTCTGGCTTTTAAAGGATGCATAGGATATTTTATTTCATTACTGTCTAGGCATTTCAAATGAAATAATAATCCAAAACCCCTCATCCCATTATTTTCCCCCTTTGAAATTAAAAGAAAATAATGGAAGGGAGAACATGTTCTTGGAAGGGCAAATAGGTGATAACTCACAGAGAAACATAATGTGAAAAAGCATATCTATTTTCCCCAAATAATGATCTAAATTAATCCATTTTATAGGTTTCTCTATATTACGTACTTTGACAAAAGTGAATTTTTTCAAAAGGAAAACATATCACTGAAATATTTTTGACATATTTCTGATTTGAGGGTAGACTTTCCACAAATATAAGCATATATAAGCTGCTACAGGCAGCTTCTCTCCAAGACCTTAATCACAGAACTGATTTAAATTTAATTTACCTGTGGCTCACTGAAACAGGCTTTATTTTTTCCCTTAACAAGTAAAGTGCCAGTGAATAGCAATTTGAGTGTAAACAAGACATATTGTTCTCAGATTATTATAGGTCATAATATTTGACTTCAGCTAAATCTGAAGTCAAAAAAAGAGGCTAAGAAAATCTTGGTTTGCTGGAGGAAATAACCCCTGCTTATTTCCCACACTCTGAAATTAAAAAAATATTAAAACTAAATATAGTTGAGTCAGTGACCTTTAAAAAGTCTGTTGGGGGATTTTATATTGGTTGTGTTCTGTTTTGCTTTTGATTAGTTTTGACTAGTTTATCTGCAAATCTAAAACACATGAAGAACCAAAGTCTGCAGAACGGAAAAGAGCGATTTTCTCTGGGAAGCTCTAACCTGTTGTAAAGAAGAATTCTGCGTTGTGGTGCAGCTGACTCAACTCTTGTTTCCCTCAGCTACCAAGAAAAGCAAAAAAAGGACAAGTTCTGTACCTTTCCAAAAATTTAGAAAAACATTGTATAAATGGCTGGAGAGGAATGTTTGACTCAAACCCCAGAACACTGATTCAGGAACCACCTTTTACTGGCTGCCATCTGAATGCCAACATTGATTTGTGCTACCTGGATTTTAGGACACTGAAACCTCACCCATGCTGAAAGGCAAAGACAGAAAATGTTGGTTTGCTTTTAGCTCTGACAAATATCTAACAGTGGTGAGTGTGGGATGAGAATCCAAAAGTAGTTTACATGGTGTGATGGCAGCTGGGTGACATCTTTCATAAATTTGGGATGACAGCCCCCTGTCCTTCTTCTCCCTTTCAGCTCCCCGACACACAGCGGGTCCTTCTCGCTCCCATCCTTCCTTGCTTGCTCCCTCTTTTGACAGTCATCTGTTTCCCCACCCAGGTGGCTCACAGTGCCTTCCTTGACTGTGCTCATCTGGGCTGAGGTTGCCAAACAGCTGGGGTCAGATCCCAAATCCCAGTGCAGCCTCACTGACCACCCCTCTTTCCAGCGCCAGGCACGGCAGCCTTGGAGAGGCTGGCAGGTTGCAACATGTGTATTAATATGGCTTTGCTTTCTCATATCCTTATCTCTAACAGCAAATCTGTGTAGCTCAGGATATGAACTGCAAATGAGAGATGAGGAACTGGTTAGTGCTTATCAGGAACGATGGAATTTGAGATCTGGAGATGAAGGGGGGTTGTTAGCTGTGTTTTTTTAATGAGAGGACTGGCTGATGTTTATCAGTTGACCCCTGTTTCAGGTAACGGAGCAGTTGGCAGGGAGCTATTCGTACTGATTAGATTGAGTGAGTTGGTATTCAGACTAACTTCTGATTTCCCTCGTATTATTTGTACAAGCTCTTTATTGCTCTGGATAATTCTCCCCTTCCTGGTTTAGGAAGTGGAACTGACATCCTCCTGAAGCACTGCTACCAGCTCACCAGATTTTATTATGTGAGACGACATGATGGTCATAGATTAACTCAACCTCTTACTATTTTTCTGTATTAAAATTAGACCTCTGTGACATTTGCTTTGTTCTAACCAAACAGGGATAATGTACAGCTTTATCAACTAGGAAAGATTTATGGTACTGAGGCCCATCAGGATATTACTTTTAATCAACATTTCTGTGGCTAAGGCAACTGCTGTCTTCTTTCAGGATTGAATATTTATGTAACCTGAGTGGCTTTCAATCCTTGCTTGTTCCGAGAGTCCCCAAAACTTTTCTGCTGTGGCTGGAAGGAATTATGATGTTCTTACCCTCCCTCTCCCCTGCTAAGTTCATTGCAGTATCTTTGGGTTTCTTTCCTCTCTGTTATTTGTCACTGTCTTGTCTCACTTCTTTGCCACAACAGATCCTTGAAGTGATCTATCAGAGGAGCAGACTCATAACCAATTTTTAAAAAGTTCCCCTATTGGATTTACAAGCCTGACCCTAACAGACCTTGCAATCACCGGTGAGAGTCCAGGTAGAACAAGTAATAACTTCACATATATGTACGTGAGGCTTTCCACTACACTAGCAATCACATTTTTATTGACATTTCCTTTTCCAACCTGGCTATCAAACCTCATATTTCACATATCTGTAGAGAAAACCAGGTTTGTTTTCCATGAATGGGCTGCATTATGGGGATTTTTTTATGTTATTCCATCTCCTACAGGCTTTTATCCAAACCAAGCAGCTAAAATAAAACATGGCTTCCTTCCCTGAGATGGTTTCATAGCCCAGCTCTCCAACTTTCTCCCATACCACAAACATGCAACACAATTGTGCAACAGCCAAGGAAGGAATGGTGAGATCAGAGCCGTGACTGCAGACATCCTGACATGGGGATCTGGCAGTTATTCAACACAAACACAATTAGAGGACTTACCCTTGCGTGAAGTATTTGCTTTCTTGATAGTCACCAGCCTTAACCTCTAGGAATGCTTACGAATCAGATAGCGTTCCTTGAGGAGGGCGAGCCTTTTCAAGCTCCTCTGTCCTGCTTTAGCCAACACAGATACAAAGAAGAAAGAAATTCCGCCGCGTCCTCCAACTTCTCCCAGGGAAAGCCTTTAAGAAGCAGAGAAGAGTTGTGGTCTCAAAATCCCTGCCAAGGTATATACGGTATCATGCAGTGCTTGCTCCTCTTCCTACTATCAGCAGGAAAAAATAACACCACAAGAGACAAACTTTGAAATTCTCACCAAACATGAAAGTAAGTGGGTTTCCTGCTCCTTGGCTTTGCATTGCAGTTGACTTGTCTGGCAGTGGTGATCCCACAGAAGGATGGCAGAGATTGCATGACTTGGAAGGCTCATATATGTTATCTGCATAGTTATTTGTGAGCTGGATACAGAAAAAAGTTCATTAACTTAGAAAATGTAACCTACACAACATACAAATCTTCAAGTCTTACAACACAAATATTTCAGAATAATTCTAATCAGTGTAAACCCTGGGTTTTTCAAAGAGTACAGCATCTTCAAAATGGCAATAGCAGCTGACCTCTAATAAAACATCTGCTAGCAAATTGGTCAAATGTCAGTCTGGCACAGCAGTTACAAAGGGAAAGTCTTGTTCCAAAAAGCCCAATAATTTAAATTATTCTCATATCAAACCGCATCAGTGACACATGAGAACTGGGCCAAAGGAGGGCCCACTCGTGTAACCCCAGGAGTGTAACAGAGCAGTACAAAGGGGAAGACCAGTGGGATTTCCAGATGATGCAATGTGACATGACACGACTACTGCAAGACACACAGAGGCTTAACTGGTATAACATAAAACAAAATAATAATAAAAGAAAGTGGTAGAGATAACTCCAACCCCGAAACACTGAAGTGAGCTGAGAGGCTCTTACCTGTGTGACCTGTGTGAGCAAACCCACCACCCCGCAGGACCACTTATCCAATACCAGCAGCACCCCAGCAGCTGTAGGAGGAACAGTTGTGCAGTGTTGTGCCTTCCCAAGTGACCAGATGCACTTTTCCATCTTTAACAGCTTCCACAAATATCAACAACCCAAAAACCAGTGGAGATTGCCAAAATATCAGATATCTGAATCCAGTCAGAACAAGACACTCCCAAAAATATTTCCAACGCTATGAAATTCACACACACACACCTCCCCAAATGAACAGGGGAAATTTTTTGCATGGGACCAAAGGAGAAATGACAATAATGCCTCAGCCAGATATCAATGGTCGCAGAGTTCCAAGCTAAGGAGCTGATTTAGGGTATTTTGGTGCGCACAAAACAACCTGGCCATGCTCAAGGGACAGACTGCCCGAGCACAGTATTAAACTACTGTTAGTAAAGCAGTTGCATCAAGAGAGCAAATAAAGCAACTAAAACACAGTTCTGGAGTAGCACTGTTGACATCTGCAGACCCACCCAAGCCAGGCATTCTTCCCAAAATAAAAAATTGGCAACCAGCTATGAATGGTTGCTGGTCTTGACATTTTGTAACGCCACTAAAGAAGCACAATATAAATCTGCAACCCTGTATCCGGACAATAATTGGAATACATCAAGAAAATGCTTGCAGTCATTCCAGATAGAAAAAAAAAAAAATAAAAAAAAAAAAAAAAAAAAACACAAAAGGGAAAAAAAGAGAGACATTTCAAAATCTAAGAGTGCTTATAAACAAGGATGTTACTTTCCCCCTTCTTATCAAGAACCGTCCTTAATTGAAAGGATCAGTATCTAAAGCAACTGGTGCTGCCCTGCACATGAATCCCCTTTGCACCTCTTCCCTCTTATTTCTTCAGTGGTTTTATTAACATTAGTGACTTATCTAAGTATTAGAATGCTTGGCTGCTTGGAAGCTTATCAACAGCAAATTTTATGGGCTGTTTAGTGATGGAAACAGGAGGAGATGGAGCTCTCCCCTCCCAGCTACCTCGATATGGAAGTCTTCAAGAAGCCATGGAATGTGCTCTCTGGTATTTTTGGTATCTTTAAAGTGTCAAGAGTGCAGAATTTCTCTTGTCAGTTGTCACAGTGTGACTCACAATTAGAGACATCTGCTCTGCATTCACCTCCCTAGGGGCACCGCTCGTTTTTCACCAGCTTCCTGTTGTTGACAGCACAGTTCCTCCCTGTATCACTCTCCACCAGCACCCATACTCCTCGCAGACATTGCAGCAGGCTTAAGCAGATTTCCCTTGGGAAAGCCCTTCCCCTTGTTTTGCTAGTGGTTGGAAAAAATATAGAATGTTGAGAATGCTCTGAAGGCAGACGCTCTGTTTCTAAAGGAACTGAACAAATTCCATTCTTTTTCTTTTTTTTTTTTTTTTTTTTGGTCAGGAGGACCCCATTGTTTTTAGATCTCTCTCAAAAATCTCCACATTTTCTTTACATCCAATTTTCATTTCAAGCAAGAGAGCAGCTTGAAAAATGAAACATTATTTGTGCTGAGTCCTTGTCAGAAATTGGTGTAAATGGGTGACTACTACTACCAAAATATTATTCAATTAATTTTTCAAATACTGAAAATAATTTCAAATATTAAATTTCAGACGAGGAACACGCTGCTCCCCTTCCTACTCCACCCAATTAAGAAAACAGTTGTTCTACATGTTTTTCACACCAAATACTTAAGCTGAGGTAGACTAACTATCCCCTAACAAGCACAGATCTGTGCTTTGTGCCTGGTTAATGCAGAAATACCAAACACCACCTAGGGTGGGTACGGCTGCCGGAAGAACAGATCTGTTGTGTGTTCTACCTATTTTGCCCCTGTGGACTGGAAAGTTTATTTCTTAGGCTCTGACCAGTAGTAACAGATTTGAAATTCTACTTTCCCCAGGAACCCAACTTTCTTGAAAGGCTCTCCAGTCCTGCAGGAGCATAAGATCTTAGATACTATCAGTTTCTGTGGTCCTTCTTCCTTGGTCTTGGTCCAGTGCTTCCCTGTTATGTCCCCTGCACAAGGAGCAGCCCAACAGAAAATTCCAATATTCAACACAATATAAAAGGCATCTACCTCTAAGATTATTAATTTTATGCACAGAACACTTTTTCCTGACCCTTTAGGGCAGCTCCTGGGCCTGGTTCTTGACCTGACATTGGTGGAAACCACTAATGTCCATGGTGCTCCCCCACTCCAAATAAAGTGGTAAATCATCTGTTTTGTTCCACATCCTGCCAATACATATTGCATAACTTCTTTTTTTTGTGTGTGTGATTTGCTGGGATCTTTCCAGAACCTGTGTTTGACTTCTCCCAGGAACAGACTCTTCCTTACATATTCACAGTGCTCCAAGCACAAGTTTAGCAGACTCCAGCTCATGATGCATCTGCACTCATCCAGTCACAACACGTCAATACGATGCACAGAAGCCTTTCATTTGCCTTCTAAATCAGGACAGCGTAACAGCTGAAATATTTCTCACTGACCCTGGTCTTCAACACAAAACTAAACTTCTCTTTGCTATTTCAACATTCCTCCACCAGGATTATATTTAAGGTCAACACAATTTGGGCCCTGGACCCAGACTGCTTAAATTATTCAAAAAAATATGAAACCATGCCAGTTAAATCAAGAAAATATGTTCTAGAAAAGATAAAACACATCCTCTGTTTAAAAACACATTTCCAAAAAGCAACTCTAAACTCATAAAACTGTTATGAAATCCACAGCTCCTCCAAACATGAGGAGAACTCTCTGCAAGCTAGAATATTAACTCAAATTTGTTGGGTAATCTAGTAAACCCAGATGGGGAGAAATTGGAAAAGGAAAAATGGATTCTTTCAGTGTTACCTCAGATTGTTCATTTATTACACTACCCAGGCACGTATCTGCATTGAAGGCTTTCAATGTTCCACAGCTGAATTCTCACTTAAAACCTGCATTTGCTGAAGGCATGAAAACCTGGATTCAAAATAGTCTCTATAGGATCAATCATGGAGCTGCCACTAAAAGGCCTTAAAATGCATTTGCAACTCAATAATTATTGTTCCAGTAGACTGTAGCAAATTATTTTTACAGATTACAAACCCACTGGCCTGGCCCCCTATTAAATACAATCTTCTTGGACCAAAGAGCTCTTTCTGATAATTGTTCTAAAAAGTCAATTGCAATTCAAGGTAGGGTATTTTCCATTTACAAGGTACAGAGAACTGGATATGACAGCCTGCTCATCATACTTCATTCCTCTGATCTGTGTTCCTGTTTCCTGCGCATTCTACCTGTAGCTTCAGTCCATTTTTGTACAGTACTTTCCCAGCATTTTAATGATGGAGCCATAAGCAAAGATACACCGCTACATAGCTTATTCTTAGAAAATAAAGCTATGTGGTTGTACCCCAGGTCATACCTGCCAGAACTCGCATGTTTTAAAAAGGAACATCCAGCCATTAAAACTAAAATGTACTTGGAAATGAAATTCAAATTAAATTTAATGGAAATCCACTCAATATTTTGCAGAAGAGCAAACTGGTAGCAAGGTGGATTGAAAAATCAAAATCATACTGAGGGACAGTATAATTCTTTTCAAGCAAAGCTGTTTAATGCATAAAAATTATTGTGACTGAAGGAATCTGGTTTTGCACTGAAAACCTCAAGCGTTACATCACAGACAGACCTGAGGCCTTGCATTTTAATTATTAATTTCATAAAAGATCCCAAGAGCAAGAGAGGTCATGAGAGCTGCTCCAATCCATGGGCAGTTAAGCAGGAGAATGCTTTGGTGCCCTTTAGCCTTTGAGTGTGCTGCAGGACAGGGGGGTTTGGTGCTAAACGACAAATTGAGTTAGAAATATTTAAGTCATAAACCATAGTAAATCTTTTAGCACTTGAAACACCATGAGACACTCCAAGCTGAGAGCAAATGAAGTGTTAGTCTATGCATGTTTAAAAATGCACAGAGGCTATGTTTACTGAATTATCCATTTCTTAACTATGTCTCCTTTAGGAAGCTGACATCCAACAGTTTCCCACCAAAAGAAACAATTTATGAAAAGTGACTCTATCATGGGTTAAGAAAAGAAAATGATGTGCATCTCTCTGAAAGCAAAATTATGTAGGTTGCAAAGTCAAGGACAGCTAAATTAGGAAGTGGCAGATTTATGTGTGCCTGCGTAACCTCTACTTGGCCCCCTTGTAGGTCCTGTGCCCCGAGTGAGACAGAGGTCCTGTGGAAAAAATAGTATGTGATTATGCAATTAAAGACTATATCTTAAAACAAAAAGCATCTGAATTAAGGTTCTGTTGGCATATGTGAATATAACATTTCCTAGCATTTAAATTCTGGGCTTTGCAACCTTAGCACAGAATTTCTGTCAGATTATATGTTCACAAGGCTTTTATACATAGGT